ACAGATAACATGCCAAGAAGGTTGGTTTTTGTTTTGTTTTCCTGTGGTAATCTTCCTTGGGTTTTGGATTTGGGATGGCCCGCATTTTCCACATATTTTGACAAAAAATCCTCAAAGAGAATAAGATATATTTGAGCCAAGATGAGTTATATTTACGTTGCCCTAAAGAAAACAGATAAATGGTTTCATGAAGTTTATTTCATTATAGACTGTAGTGAAGTCATAATGGAGGCATTTTTAAAATGCTTTGGTGGGAGCTCAGCTTAAGCAGCTTACAGCAGAGCAGGAAGTCTCTCAGATTCTATCTGACGTCCTTAGCTTCAAGCTGGTAGAACTTAGTGGTCTGCTGAATTAGTAGATTCCAGAAGGTCTTTCCTGCTGGTAGCTAGGGTGTTTGTTAGATAAGAGACGGGTGGGCAAGAGGACCAAAGGTTCGGCCTGAGATTTGACTCAGGATCTGCAATATCCCAACTTTTTACAGTCCAGAAGTTCTAATGATTCATCAGCTAGAGCTACCCGTGACATGATCCCTTTGGTTCATATTGCAGATTTTGTACAGACCTCCCAGGCTGAGGCATTTGGCCTCTGGGTCCCCATGAATCTGGGCTTCTATGGGATCTTAGAAGACCACACACATGTCCAGGTTGGCTTAGTGGTGAAGGCTTCAGTCAGCAGTGCCTGCCATATTTGTTGGTAGTAACCAAAGCTTCAGGTGTGAAATCCCAGATCCTGCCCTGGCTGTCTTTCCTCATCTTGAGCTTGAGGAACTCAGAAGCCTCCCATCTTCCTGACGTGAGCTCCTCTCAGATGTTCTGTCTTTGGTGTTGGAGAGTGCATCTGGGGACATCTGTGAGGCAGGACATCCAGGGCTCAGAAGGATGGCTCCTGAGACCAAGTGGGGTAGGTGAAGCCCCTGGTTTTAAGGTACCAGAGGAAGTGCATAGGGTAGGGAATAGCAGGCACCTTTCCCACCTTGAGACAGATTGGATAGGAAACATTTCCTGTTTCAGATGCAGGGAAGTAGCTGTAAGGTGCGGCCTAGCAGGCACCTCCAGCCTTGCTGGAAGCAGGCATTCTTTTTGAGGTGACTGTGCTGGAAAATTGGGGCGAATGACAAGCAGTAAGATGTATCCCTGTTTCAGAACCTTGTTTCTTTTTTTTTTTAATTTTATAATTAATTTAATTTTGCATTTCAGCCACGGATTCTTGTCCTTCCTCCTCCCACCCCCATCCCCGCCCTCCCCTCAGTCCAGCCCCCATTCCCACCTCCTCCAAGGCAAGGACTCCCCTGGGGACAGAAGAACCTTGTTTCTTGTAGTAAAGACTTCCTGGGTGTACAGATTTGACCCATCAATTCTGTCTCAGCACTTGAACCCATTTCTTAGGCTTTCTAGAGTTGCCTGGACTTGGGGCCTGGCAGGGTCTTACTGCTTCCTGAGTGTGGATGGAGCTATAAACAGGCTCCTTAGATCAGTGGTTCTCAACCTGTGGGTCACAACCCCTTGGGTTGCATATCAGATATTTATAGTATGATTCAAAACAGTAGTAAAACTACAGTTATGAAGTAGCAAGGAAATAATTTAATGGTTGAGGGCCACCACCTGTATTAAAGGATCGTCGCTTTAGGAAGGTCGAGAACCACCGCCTGAGATGCTCACCTGGCTCTCCAGAGGCTCTGTATAGTGTGTGGTCTGTAGTGTGTTCTCTCACCTTGGGCAAAAGCTTGACCTGACCAAGGAAACCAGTTTTTTTATATCATAGAGACAGTGACTCTTTCGAGTAGACTGAGCTCCGGGAAGACCCCAGGGGCATATTGGGAGTTTAGCACACGGTGCTTAAGTGGGAAAACAACAGCAGTACATTTCTTTCATCATTTGTAAGTGGGGCTAATACCACAGGGCCTGTTTGACAGAGTGGCAGTGAAAATCGGATAAGGGGAGCCCTGTGGAACACTCAGTCCTGGCCTGTGGAGTAGCGCCACCTGTGCTTGCGAGCTCCATCAAGCTGTACTTTGCCTACACAACCAGCAGATGGTGACATTGGCCACATATTGCCACTGCAGGCCTCTCTCCTCAAGGTTCCGTTTCCTGGTGTGGCAGTCTATTCGATTGCTGCTCTGGTTTCCTGACCTGACCAAGGAAACCAGTTTTTTTATATCATAGAGACAGTGACTCTTTCGAGTAGACTGAGCTCCGGGAAGACCCCAGGGGCAGGTTTCCATTAACAATGTGAGGCAGCTGAATGACTGGGTGGGCTTGTCTGTAGACTGCTGTAGCTTCCTGGGCGATTTGCTTTCGTTCAGGTACTGTCCACTCCTTCCTGACCGGCTGAATTGCCAGCTACCTAAGGAAGGGCCCTCATGCAGCCAGGAGGGTTTGGACTGAAGTTCCAGCTGGGAACTAAGGGAGCATGAGTTTCAGGAGCTAGTCTGTTCCAGTTGCTGCTTTCATGCCGTACTAATTGGTCTTCATTCTGAGGGGGATTGCAAAACAAAACGAGATCTGTTTGGCCTTCGAGCCTGAAGGTTCAGTGTGGACTCCAAGTCTGAGATGCTGTGGCCCAGGGACCCTCTTGAAATGATGCAGCAAAGGGGTCTTAAGTGAAAGGTCTGAGGTGTTTTTACTTATTTGATTTTGGCTTTTGTTTCATGTTGTGTAGCTCAGGCTGGCCACAAACTCCCAAGAGAGCTGAAGACAACCTTGAACTTCTGGTCCTCCTGCCTTCCAGCCTTCTTTATGCATCAGGTAGCTAAATTCCCAGAGTCAGGTGATGGTCTTTTCACATGCTGCTCTTTCTGTTGCCCAGTGTGAGAACATGGGCCGGACGGTGTGTTAGCCAAGCTATGTAAAGTGGAGAGGCCACACCAGCCCAAGTGCTAGAGTTTTGTAAAGCAGAATGATTTGTATATACATTTGTTGAACTGAAGAATTTAAGTAACTAGCATGTTTGAAACAAATAAGTGTTGTTGATTTTTAAATGCCAATGTTCAATTTTTACCTGTAGTGTTCACTTGATATAAAATACAAAACCTAGCCAGGCGGTGGTGGCGCATGCCTTTAATCCCAGCACTCGGGAGGCAGAGCCAGGCGGATCTCTGTGAGTTCAAGAGTTCAAGGCCAGCCTGGGCTACCAAGTGAGTCCCAGGAAAGGCGCAAAGCTACACAGAGAAACCCTGTCTCGGGAAAAAAAAAAAAAAAAAAAAAAAAATTACAAAACCTGTTGTAACTTTAGGAATGTACCACAAGGTGGCACCAACGTCAATTGTCTTAGCCACCAGGAAGTGTAATTCCGCCATTCTATAGCAGAATTTCACAAATTCTTTATTTTGGAACTTTATTCTCTGGAGTCAGGAACTTCTATTTTACTTTGTAGAAATTTGATTCAGTGACAATATGTATGCACCTTTTCATTTTAAAAAGTGCTGAGGTTGTCTCTGAGGTTTCCCCTAAAGCCTCATGTCATAGCTGTCTATTGACCTGTTTAAATCCTGTTTTCTGTAGGGGGTACAAAGGAAAAATTTCCTAATGATAATGTTGCTTAATTTTTTTTAAAAAGTTTATTTATTATGCATACAGTGTTGTGGCTGCATGCCAGAAGAGGGCACCAGATCTCGTTATAGATGGTTGTGAGCTACCGTGTTGTTGCTGGGAATTGAACTCAGGTCCTCTGGAAGAGCAGCCAGTGCTTTTAACCTCCGAGCCATCTCTCCAGCTTCATGTTGCTTAATTTGAATATTAAGACTTTACTGTTTGTCTTTGTATTTCTTCTTGTTTGTTTCCTAAACTTCAAATTAGATCAACTCAGTTTTTTAAGATTTATTTTTCGGCCGGGCGGTGGTGGCGCACGCCTTTAATCCCAGCACTCGGGAGGCAGAGCCAGGCGGATCTCTGTGAGTTCGAGGCCAGCCTGGACTACCAAGTGAGTTCCAGGAAAGGCGCAAAGCTACACAGAGAAACCCTGTCTCGAAAAACCAAAAAAAAAAAAAAAAAAAAAAAAGATTTATTTTTCATGTGCATTGGTGTTTTGCCTGCATGTGTGTCTGTATACCACATATGTACATTGTCCTCAGAGGCCAAAAGAAGGTGTTGGATCTCCTGGAACTGGAGTTACAGATGGTTGTGAGGCACCATGGGATTGCTGGGAGTCCTCTTAACTGCTGAGCCATCTCTGTAACCCTAGATCAACTCTTAAAGAATTAGGTTTCTTTCTCTACTTTTTCCAAGAACATGAATTTCTAGATAATCTCGGGAAACTGAAATAAAATGCTTGAACTTAAAACTACTTTTGATTCGCTTATTTTTATGAACATTTGAATTATGCTGTGTATGGACTACTGTCTACTATATATGTGTACATTGCTTACTTTTATGAATATTTGAATTAAGCAGTATATGAAGTACTGTCGCTGTATGTGTGGACACATGAATAGCAGTTTGATTTAGTGAATATATACATCAGGGAGGGCTTGTCATGTCACTCGTCTTTACCTTCATTCTCTCCTAGTTCTGTGACTGGTGGCATAAAAAGAGAATTTCTTGCTTTGTATCCTGGTGTAGTGAGAAGAAACCATCACCAAATAAGCAGACCCAAGTTTTTATATCATGCTCTCTTTACTCCATAGTAAATGTGGTAGAGAAACAACCTTGGTCAGTCTTTCTACAACCACGTTTGGGCTCAATTTCCAACCGAAAATTAATTCTATTTGTAATTCAGTTGGGAGTAAATGTGATGCAGTAGAAGACAATGGCCAATATCTGGCTATTTATTTCTAGAATATAGAAGACCATCAGGCTTTGTTCTTGTTATTTTGTTTGAGGTTTTTGATTTTGATTCTTTACTTCTCTTTTTAATAGCAGGCTTTTAAATGTTTTCTGATCAGAGTCCCTTTTTTGTGGGGTTTGGTGGGGGTGGACAGGGCCTGTGACTACGGATAAATGTATTTGCTTAAGATGCAGCATGACCAGATGTGACAGCCTTCTTCCTTCTCCTTTCTCCCTTAGATTGGAATAATTGGTGGAACGGGCTTGGATGATCCAGAAATTTTAGAAGGAAGAACCGAGAAGTATGTGGATACTCCATTTGGCAAGGTGAGTGTCCGGCCGACAGTGTTGGCTTTGGCATTGCTAATTACTGGCTTGATTTTAAGTCAAGAAGAGTAGTTGGTTTTGTGTGGACATCCTAGAGACTGGTCCAGGCTGAGGGCCCCCGGTGCTGCCACTGGGTTTCATCAGCTGAGTTGCCCATAAGAGTGCACGAGGCTACTGTTTTGATGACATGGCTTTTGAACACACAAGGGGCTGGCTTCTCAGTTTGCATTACTAGAAATCAAGAATGCTGGTTTTAAATTCAAATCTGTTTCTAATTTAGAGCCCAGGTCACACCACAGTAACTTAGCAGACAGGCTGGTGGCAGGTAGGATGAAGAGTCGTTATGAAGTGGTATCTTCTGGCCCAGATGAGTCCTGGGATCTGGAACACAATGTTAGGATTGGGAATAAATGGATTCTAGGGAAGACTGCTTATTTTCCGACCGGGGCCAGGTGAGGAGGTATCTACATTCCTAATTCCACATCGCCTCTTCCAAACAACACTGGCATCCCTCCCTCTGAGAAGAGCTTGCATCCTGGCCCAGCCCTCCTTTTCAGCTAAGTTCTTAGCCTGACCTGGGGTTTTCCAAGCCCTTTCCCATCTCACCCTTAGCCTCAGGGTTGGTTCTCGGGTTTTTCCCAGCATCTCTTCAAGGCGTCTCACGGCCTTCTTTAGCCTGGTTGCCGCAGTAGGCCGTTCTATCGCAGAGCTCTTGGTGCCCCACAGTGACCTTTTAGCTTTTGACTCACAACATTTCATGAACCTTTCAAATGCCCTTGACACGTGTAAAGTTGATTAGAGTCTCCCGGAACACTTGCAGCAAAGCCCCTGCAGCCTTTCATAACCTGCGGAGTCCGTGCTCGCAGAGAGCTCAGTCAGTACTTGTGGATGATAATGTTGATCAGTAAAACTTAAGCTCCTTTCCCTGAGCTGTATCTCCAAACTCCAGAATTCCACCAGTTTGTTGTGGTTTCATTGACTCAGATTTTTAAGGACTGTTTATACGTGTTTTAAAATTACTAAGCTGCGACTGTTCGTTTTTTATTGCATGCAGCCATCTGATGCCTTAATTTTGGGGAAGATAAAAAACGTTGACTGTGTACTTCTTGCAAGGTAAAGTATTTTAAGTTTGTTGTTTAATATTACTACTTCAGAAGAATTTAAATTTAACTTAAAAGCCCATAAACAGGTAATAATGTAGGTCTGAGATAGGTGTCCGCAGAGTCAGACCATGCTGGCCCCTTCTGAGACAAGCTCGAATTATAAGTATTTAGGAAATCAAAGATCTCATTCCTCTCTTTGGTTTGGAAAATAGGTCAGTTGAGTGACACTGAACCTCCAGTTTCTGTTCTAGCTACAAAAATATTTCCTTTGTTAATTTTCTTTCTTTCCAATTATCAGATAAACAAGATGCTTTGTTCATGACATCCTTGTCTAGTGGCAGTCACATTTTGTGGGGAGGAGGTCTCAGTCCCTGAACTAACCTGGATGACTTCTTGTGTTTACACTCTTGTTCCCTAAACAGGGCTAGTGGTAGAAGCTGCCGCACAGAAAGCAGCAGGGTTAGGAATTCCCCTGACCCCAAGTGGCCTCCACTGCAGTTAATGCAATAGCAAGCAGGTTCTCGTGCCCACAAGGTGGCACCTAGTCACAGGAGTAGCTTCTAGAAGCTATACATAGCCTAGTGTTGGGGAGCAAGTCTCAGGCCGAGCCACACAAGATGTGTGGACTCTATAGGACATGAAAGGGGGACCTAACAAAGCTTCGTCCACCACGGTGATGTGGAAAGTAGGTTCTTGGGAGCCAGCAAAACGAAAATGTAGTTTTAAGTGGTCCCCTGCTGTGGGTTTCTTACAAGTCTCCTTTCTTAGTCATTACTGGAGAAATGCCTGCTTTTCTTTTCTTTTCTAAAGCTCAGGGAGGAAACAGTTGTTTAAATTACACAGATGTCCAGTTTCTCCTGAAAAACCTGCTGAGTGCTTTGGAGGCCAGGCCCTGGAAAATATATGTATCTCTGAATAATGAGGGCTCCTACTTTCTTAGAGGCTGTCTATGAACTCAGGGTGGAAACCTTAGGTGCTGTGTTAGTCTGAGGTTTGTTAGTTATCAAGATGAGACATCAAAAATTCTTTTTAAATACAAAGAGGATAATAGTGCGGTGTTATTTAACAACTCTGTAGAGCAGGTAGATATTTCAGTATGTTTTAATGAATTATGAATTAATGGGGGAAAAATCCTGGCTCCGAGTGGGTTGGGTGACTTTGGAAGGCCTCGGGGGAGGTAAACGAGAGAGCTTTGAACCAAAATGGTTGCACTCCAAAGCCCAAAGTTTTTATTTAAATGCTTAGATATATTTCCACTCTTTTGTAAATGTGACTACTTGAATAAATATTAATAATACATGTATAGGTGGGTATTCAAATACGTATGCATATAGAATAGATTTTAAGTGTTCTTTCCAAAACTAAGTAAATATGTAAATTATATACAAACCTTTCAAACACTGAACAAAATAAAGCTCTGTGTTAACTTGCTTCCCGTGTATTTCTGTCTTATCAAAGGTAAAGAAATAAACTCTGGACAAAGCCACTCTGTGCTAGAACATCACGTGTCTTAGTTTTTCGGGAGGCCTAGATAGTTTTAGGCTTCTTCATGAAATACTGCTTATAAGAACCTAAGAAAGCCATGTGACCAATGTGAATTTTAAAATTCATTTTAGAAATTGAGCCCTTTACAGCTGTTGACTGGAGTTCCCCTGTGGGTATGGATAAGCAGGCTCATGCTTATGTGTTTCTAGTTCTTAAATAACTTTAACAAATGCAAATAGTGCATTTGTTTGTCCAACAGGGTCAACTGCTTACATGGTGGGTGCTACTGAGGAAGACAGGCAGGGGTATCGCCCTTGGGACAAATTATAGTTGTAGAGGTGGTGACCAAAGAGACATGTCCAGTTAGAGTAAGCATTAGTATAATAGGTAGACGTGCCGTAGATGCAGTGATGATGGCAGATGTGATGACTACAGTAGATGCTTCTTGGCCTTGGAGCTAAGCTCTAAAGAGGGTCAGAGGCCTAGGCAAGACTAAGCATGGAAGCAGAGAAGACTTTTTTGAGTAAAATAATGGTCTTTTTGGTTTTTTGAGACAGAGTTTCCCTGTGCAACTCTGGCTGGCCTGGAACTCACTCTGTAGACCAGGCTGGTCTCAGACTCACATAGACCTACCTTCCTCTGCCTCCGAGTGCTGGGATTGAGGGCATGCACCACCACTGCCCGCCAGTTCCCTTTTTTATTCTTAACCCTCTTTGGCCGCTGTTGTTACAGCAGCACATACAGTACTGTCAGTACTGTACGTACAGACGTGTCCCCATGTCTCGTTCCCCACTTCTCATTTCTACTAGCAGCTAAGAAATGTCCATGCCATTTTTCATATGGAAGCTGTGGACCTTCTGGGCCTATGATTTAAGTTGTCCTGCTTCTAGAAAGTTGTGCTTTTCCTTTCTATCCATTTACTACTTCCTGGGGAAAGTAGTAGCTCTCTGTAGCATTACCAAGTGTCAGCGGAACCAGATTTTTTTGCCATTAAAAACTGACACTGTATTGAACAATAAATTGAGAAATCAATCAAAATAAATTTTTCTTTCAAAAAAAAAAAAGCAAAGAAACCTGTCTTCAAGTACAGCCACAGCCTATAGCTAGAGTTTTCCTGCCTGGCCCACAGTCAGGACAAATCTCTCTCACTTGCCAGTCCCACAGCCGCTCAGACCCGACCAAGTAAACACAGAGACTTATATTGCTTACAAACTGTATGGCCGTGGCAGGCTTCTTGCTAACTGTTCTTACAACTTAAATTAATCCATTTCCATTAATCTATACCTTGCCACATGGCTCGTGGCTTACCGGCATCTTCACATGCTGGTTGTCATCGTGGAGGCTGGCAGTGTCTCTCTGACTCAGCCTTCCACTTCCCAGCTTTATTCTCCTCCTTGTCCCACCTACACTTCCTGCCTAGCCAATGGCCAATCAGTGTTTTATTTATTGACTAATCAGCAACACATTTGCCATACAGAACATCCCACAGCAACAGCCTGTGATCCAGCTTGGGCTTGGATCTCCAGTTCAAGAACTTTGATTCAGGGCTGGGCCATGGTGGTGCTCGCCTTTAATCCCAGCACTTGGGATGAAGAACCAGGCAGATCTGTTGAGTTTGAGGCCAGCCTGATCTACAGAAGGAGTTCCAGGACAGCCAGTTTCATACAGAGAAACCCTGTCTCAAAAAACAAAGAGAGAGAGAGAGAGAGAGAGAGAGAGAGAGAGAGATCGATCTTTGATTCAGTTAAGCCTGTAACAGTGGTCATGAAAGAGCTGGTCTGTCATCCAAAGCCAGCAGGAGTTAATAGATTGAACAGTTTCCTAGTTTATTCAGTTCGACTGAAGGGGTGGGAGGGGTCTGTTTCCTTGTAACTGCCTGCCCTGATCGCTGATGTCCTACCTCAATCTCCTTCCTTAGACATGGGAGACAGCATACCATCATGCCTTCAAAAGTCAACTACCAGGCAAACATCTGGGCTTTGAAGGAAGAGGGTTGTACACATGTCATAGTGACCACAGCTTGTGGGTCTTTGAGAGAGGAGATCCAGCCTGGTGACATGGTCATCATCGATCAGTTCATTGACAGGTAAGGGGTAAGTGGGGGATGGTGGGTGGGAAACATGGGCGGGGGGAGCAGGACACAGAATCACTGTAAGCTTTCCATTGTAGGGTTTGTTTGTTGTTTGTTTTTTAACTGAACTGACAAATAGTAGTTATATATTGGTGAACATAATTGATATATGTGGACATAGTGTGGTTCACCTACCACCTCACATATACACCTCACAAATCAGTTTGGATGCAAACATTGATTTTCACTACGTAATAGATATGCATGTCACCCTGCCATATAGGAGATCTCCAAAACTTACTCTTTCTGCTTAATTGAAAGTTGACAACCTTTGGCCAATTGTCTCCCAAGCTTCTGGTAAGCACCGCTTTATCCTCCGCTTCTGAGTCTGCGTTTCAGATTGTTCGTGTGAGTTCATGTGCATTGTCTTTCGGTGTCACCACACCAAATTCCCCCGGGTTCACTCACTTTGCTGCAGTTGACCATTGTCTTTTTTCATGGTTGACTGTGTAGGTTGTCAGTATTTTACATTTTCCCCATCTGTGGATGGGCATCAGAGTTGATTCTTTGACGTGGCTATAGTCAGTGATAAAGCTGGGTGTGCCAGGGTCTCAGTAATATGCTGACTTAGATACTTCAGATGCCCGAGGACAGGTAGGTGGGTCTTGCTGTTGTTGCTTTCTTTGAAGACCCTCCGGGCTGATTTTCATGTTGGCCGGACTGATTTACATTCCCACCAACAGTCAGGAAGGGCTTGTTTTCTCCCCTCTGCATGCATCTCTGCCAAGCTTTGTTGCCGGCTTTCTTGATGAGAGCTGTTCTGACTAAGGTAAGATGGAATCCCATCGTGCTTTTGATTGACATTTCCACAACGGCTAAAGATGTTGAGCGTGTGTTTATTAGTTGTTTCTACTTGAGAGAAGTGTCCAAGCAGTTCGCTTACCCATTTATGGATTGGATTATTATTTTAATTTTTTAAGTTCTTTGTCTATTTTCATTTTTAGTTCCTTGCCAGATGAATGGCTGGCAAAGATTTTCTCCCAATTTGTGAGCACTTTCTGATAGTTTGACTGTTGTATGTGTGCCTTTTTTAGCTGGATGTGGTCCTGTTTACCCATTGCTATGACTTTCTGAGTCCTGCTGAAGGAAGTCCTTGCTTTGCCCAGGCCTCTATCTCAAAGTGTTCTTCCTCTGCTTTCCTCCAGCAGTTTCAAGGTTGCAGGTCTGATATTGAGGTCTTAGATCCATTTTGAATGGAGTGTGTGTGTGTGTGTAGGAAGAGAAAGCGGGCTCTAGTTTCTGTCTTCTGTGTGGTTACATGTGACTGTCTCATTTTCTCTGCACTATTAGAAATTGTCTTTTCCATCATCACATTTTGGGCCCCTTCCTCAGGAATCGGGTAACTGTTTCCTCTGATCTTTGTTATTCCTTCCTTCTACTATTTTGGGTTTGCCTTACTCTCATTTTTCTAAGACACTGGTGTGTAATTGGGTTATTTACTTGATATCTTTCTTAATTTTTAATACAGGCATTCATGACTACAAACCCCTTTTTAGAACTTTCTCTGCTGAATCCCACAGGTTCTAGTAAGTTGTGTTTATATTTGAGTGTGGGAAATTTTTAATTCCGTGATCCCCGTAATGAACAACTGATTGTTGAAAAGTACGTTGTTCCATCTTTTTGTGGGTAGTGTTTCAGCATTTTCTTTTGTTGGTTTCTAATATTTTTTCCATTATGAGCTGATAAGATACAAAGAATTAGTTTACTTTCTTGGTATTTGGGGAACAGTTGCTCTGTGGCTTGAAATGTGGTTCTTGGGGAAACAATTCCAAGAAGAATGTGCATTCCTCAGCTGTTGGATCGGATGTCCTGCAGTTCCCTATAAAGTCTGTTTGATCCGTAGCATAATTAGCTCTGAAGTTTCTTTGCTGGTTTTTTTTTAAGGGGTTAGGGGCCTGCATGATGTCTGTTGATAAAACTGTTCACACCATCTGCTGTTTATGTATCTGGATCTGTCTGTCTTTTATGTGCAGTAAGTGTTTGTGCTATGCAGTTCGATATACCAACACTCAATGCGTATGCATTCACCGTCACTATATTTTCTTCATGGGTTGTTTCCTTTGTCAATATGTAGTGAACTTCTGGTAAACGCATTCTATCCTCTGTTTCTGAGTCTGCGTTATATAGTGCACGTGTGAGTTTATCTATTTAATGTTTGCTATCTGTTGGGAAAGGCATGTCTGCTTGGTAGAGTTCTCCATGAACAGTCATCTGTGCAGAGCTCAGTATCTAGTTTGATTCAGTGGCGAGAAAAACCATTTGAACGATATTAAAACAAAGACACATGTATCTGCAGCAAAAGAAAAAAATAATTTATTGGGCATACTAAGGAAATAAAACTTAGAAAGGTTAAAGTATATGGAAAGGGGGAGTGAAGAAAAACAGGACAGGAAGTAAAGGAAAACATGAGGCTAAAAATAAAAAAGAATAGCCAGGTCATGATGTGGTGGTGCTCACCTTTAATCCCAGCAGTTGGGAGGCCAGCCAGGACTACGTAGTGAGACCCTGTCTCAAAAAAAGGCAGCAGGTGGAATTAGGGGGACACACAATAGAACAGATCCAAGGAAAGGGTTTGAGGGTGATTCACACCAGTCACCTTGGTGTGTGGACCCTGGAAAGTAGACTGTAGTCCTTACGGCTTGCCACAAGTGTGGGTTGCTCCTCATATTCAAGGTGCCCTTTTCAGTGGATCTGTGTGTATGAGAAACCAGTGCATTTACACAGCCCTGAGCTTATGTGTGTGAGGATAGTGACCAGACCAAGGTATCCTGCACTGAGCAGGCAAGGCCTTACAGGCAAGGCATTGGCTGCTTTGCCAGCCCTGGCCACATTAGTCTCTGCCTAATGCACACATGAATGAGTCTTGACACAGTTCATCTCATGCCCAAACGTTCAACACTGTTTTTGAATAGAATTGCTTTCCACTTCCCTGTGCAGTGAAGATCATGCCTTACATCAGTAGCTAACATTGGGGAGTATAATTTACCATAAAGTCTCAACTTATGTTGCTTATATATTAGTGACTAAAATTACAGATAATTAAGTTTATATGTCCACAAACTTATGCAAGTCACGGCCAGTTTCCTGGATCTGTACACACTTCCAGGGGCTGGCTACCTGCTGAGCCATTAACAAGAAGCCTGAGAACTTGAGGTATAAAATGAAGGAGCTTTTGGTGTGCCCAGCCATAAAGACAGCAACCCCCTCTCAAGGTGTCTCCCCATCGTGGTACCTCGAACTATGTTGGGAAGTGCTGACCACTCCTCCAGTGCTGCCTTGCAGGGCATAGCACAGGTGGCCTGCCATGCGCTGTACTATTACAAGGTGCTAGATTCCATGCCTTGGAGCCCCCGTGGTCTTCCCTTCTGGAAGACCCTCCCTCCTCCTACCATGCAGCCGCACACTCTGATCTTGGGCTCCTGGTTTCTCCCACCATTTTAAAGTCCAGTATTTCTGAGTGTCTCATGGCCCCTGACTTCACAGCTGCATTGCTGTGCCTTTCCACTTTGCAGTTACATGCCTGTGGTTGTGTTTCAACCCCATGGCGCAGTGCAGGCAAGTGCTGAGAGTCTTTAATAACTGCCCTCCAGTCTCTGCATCCATTTGTTAAGAAGGGAGAATATTGGTAAAGGAATCTAGCGAGCATCAGAGGCTGATTTACAGTGAAATCTCAAGTGATTAAAATTTAGATCATTAAGTTTGATAAGGCTTTCTTTCTCTTTTTTAATTTGGCCACTGGAAATTTCTGAATTACGTTTGAGAATCACATCTGCCTTCTGTGAACCAGCTACACCTGTATCCTCAATTTGTCAGAACTACCTAGTGGGTTCTGGAAATGTAGGGTATGGGCAGGAGCTCACTTGGGGCAAGGGAAGCCTTCGACTTCACTTCCAAACATGGGAAATAAGGAGAGAGTAGGTTTCTTTGGTATTAAAGTTCTAGACAAATATTTTGCTTTCTGTGATCACCTTAGTGACATCTGAAGGGTGATTGTGTTCTCTTTAAATGCCTAAAGCACCTCCTCGGGTCCTGGAAGACACCTGGGCCGATCACACAATCCAAGCACACCCGGTTCTCGTGCTCTTTTCCCTTCCCCAGTGCAGTCTCACCCGGGCCTCCCTTTTCTCCTCCCAGACTTGACTTTGTGGGTTGAAATGTTATATGTGAGGGTGCGAAAAGAGTTTTGGAAAAGAATGACCCATTTTCTGACAAGGGCTCCTAACCTGTCAATCTCTTTCAAGGATGTATATTTTCTTCTTAGAGCAGAAATCTAATGCTTTTAAGAGGGGCTCACAGTCAAAGTCAACCTCACGCCTTCGTGTCCATGTCCTCTAAGGCATACATGGCACAGCTCCTGAGAAATGTTCCTCAAAAGCCAAAGACTGAAAACAGGGATTCATACTGATTGTATTAAGAACCCATATGAGTCTTGTCCCCAGTAGATCTCCATGGTGACAGCTTCCTGCTGTCTTCAGTTTGATGAATCCATTTCCTCTGCCTTGTAGAAAGTCCACATTGTCAGAACCACAAGTCATTAGACCATTGAAAACAGAATCTGTTCAAGTTGGGGCTTGTTCTATATCTTCCTTCCTTCCTTCCTCCCTCCCTCCCTTTCTTTTCTTCTTTCTTTCTTTGTTTTTAACACAACAGAACATTTAATTGTATCCGGTTCCCTTCAAGCCGTCAAAGACAATTGATTGTATTGGTTATTCCCACCAGTTGGAGTTGGGCTTTTCTGCTCAAGGCTCCCATGACCTCTTATTGTAAGTTTTTCTTACCAGACTCCCTTGTTTAGCCAACCTGGCACTGGTGGCCTTGGTTTTTAACATCTGTTTCTGCTCTGAGCATGCCCAGCTTCTCATTTATAATCTGTTCTAGATGATGGATTTTTAGGGAGTTGATCAAGAACATCAGAGGTTTTGTGTACAATGTTGGCAGCCTGTGTCGTGGAGTGT